ACATCCTTTTTACTTAAGATTTTGAATGGCCTAGCAGTTACTCCTCTGGAAGTTTTTCTCGTTGATATTTGTTGGTCTTTAGTCCTTGAGGTTGTTGAAAAAGTTCCTTAAATTTGTCCTAGGAAATGGCTGAGAATGCTTCAACAGTTTTCAATGTGCATGTTCCTGAGTTTGTGGAAGCTATTTGGGTTGCTCTGAGAGATCCAAAGTTGAATATTCGGGAGAGAGCTGTGGAGGCATTGCGTGCCTGCCTTTGGGTCATTGAGAAGCGTGAAACTCGATGGCGTGTGCAGTGGTAAGTGTAGTTTATATGTTGTTATTACTAGCAGTTCATTAGAATATAATTTTACTCCCATGCTCGTTGTTTCGAATTAATTCCATAGGTTAATAGTTGCTTTTTCCTTGTAGAGTGTGGAGTGTCAGTCTTATACAATGGTAAATTTTGGTGCTTATTACTTTGTCTGGCTTTTATTACGTAGCTTGTATTTTTTTTCCTGCTGTCTGCTGCATCTTGCTGTGAATGCTACCATGAATTTTGTCGTTTGGTCTAATTGCTGATGTTGAATTAAAAGTTCACAACCTATCTCGACTTTGGTATTTTCTTACTTGATGATCCATGGGGCTAAATGTTTAATGTCCTCACATCTTGACTCTTAACACTTATATGTGTTCCCTTCCAGATTTTGGAACTGATCCTGTTAGATGTTTTAAAGCTTTTGACATTATCATTATTCATTCTCTTGTGAATAGTTCTTTTCAGTAAGATTTTGGGGCTGTAGTAATCGGTGAAACATGAATTGGGGCTGTAATAATTAATGATGAATTAGATGAACCTCTGGTGGAACAGTAGGTAAAATTTAGTTTCTATTTTGTATCTGTTTATATATGTCATTTGTGTTTTTTTTTTCCAAGACTTTTGTTGTGAAACTTTCTCAGCTAATCTTACTTTGGAACAATATTTGCTGCCTGATGTCGATGGCAGGTATTATCGTATGTTTGAGGCTACACAAGATGGTTTGGGAAGAAATGCTCCTATACATTGCATACATGGTTCGCTGCTTGCAGTTGGAGAACTGCTGAGGTGGGTTCGGTGATACTTTTTAACCTTCTTTAGGTTGGCATCTGATATATTATACAGTGGCAACTGACAAGTTGGTATTTTGAGTTTTTGAGTTTTTCACTTACATTTAAATTTGTGGTGCAACAGAGCTTTCGATATAATCCTTGCTTGTTTTCCCCTAAACATGATTTTAAGTTCCTTACTTCCTTTAATTTGGACTAATCACTTTTCCTGTGTATTCATGATGTGTAGCATCACGATGCCTAACATCGTATCTATCACCATAAAGACCTTATTTTACCACTGTGTTCGAGATAGTAGGATATTTTAAACATTTGTCATGGTTGTACTTGAGGGTGGCATTATGTACTTGGGTAAACTGCTATATAGCTGTTAAATGAAACGAGCTGCTCCTGAGCTCGGCTCTACTTTTTTGATGAACGAGCCGAGCCGAGCTCATTTAAAGCTCATTTGGTTAACCCGAGCTCGGCTAGATAAGGCTCGAAAAGATGAATTTTTATAGAATTTTCTATAGTTCGGCTTGTCGAAGCTCGATTTTGGCTTGTTAATATTGATAAAACGAGCCGAGCTCGAAGTCAATTATAAGCTCGTTAAGTTAACAAGCTGAGCCGAGCTTGCTCAAGCAACATGAGCTCAAGTTCGTCTCAACTCGTTTACACCCATTTTACCACAAAATGGGAAAAAAAAACTAGGTAAAATATCTCGTTTACGGTTGTTTAATTGGTTTTGCTTATTAATGGGCTCTTATTGCGTTAAATGTTACATTTTACAGGATTACAGGTGAGTTCATGATGTCTCGATATAGAGAAGTTGCTGAGATTGTCCTTCGGTATCTAGAGCATCGTGATCGGCTTGTCCGTCTTAGCATAACTTCTTTGCTTCCTCGAATTGCCTATTTCCTACGGGACCGTTTTGTGACGAACTATCTGACGGTTAGATGCTTTCCCCTCTGCATGTAACTAAACTTTTAGCCCCAGTGGTGTGAATAATAGTTTTTTTTTTTTTTTTTTATTTGCACTGAATAACATTCTTTGCATTTGTCTTTGCTTCTTCATAGATTGCTCCTCGTAGAAGGCAACCCTCTATGGAGGCTTTGGCGTGCGTTGGGAATCTTGCAAAAGCAATGGGAACTTCTATGGAGCCTCACGTACGAAATCTTCTGGATGTAATGTTTTCTGGATTATCCTCCACCTTAATGGAAGCCCTTGAGCACATAACTGCCAGGTCTTCAATCTTCACTTTAACATCCTGCATGCAGCTTATTCTGCTTGTCTTAATGAATTGTGAGGCATTGATAGAAAACATTTTTTTTTTCCCTCAGCATTCCAACCTTGCTTCTGACCATTGACTTCATAAGGTTGCAAACCAACACAATATTTTTTTAAAGGGAAGCAAAGTTTTTGGGTGTTGGATTTAAAATTGTTGAAGCATTATGATACGTATACTAGTTGTCTGATGCCCTTTCCGAGTTAGGTCATTGATTACTGTACACTTCCGGCTGAAATCCCTGTTTCTGAAGGGCGTAGGGCCCTCGTCCGCAATATGTGGAGAGAACGAATAAGAGGCGCAAAACGAAAAGTTGAGGTGGGACATATTGACGTTGGTTTTAGTAATAGAGAACATTTCGGTGGTAACAACGAATCGATAAGCACTTCTATTGTTTCTTCCAGTTGGGAAATTATAGACAGTTACATTTTTTCACGAAATTATTTTAGTTTTTATTTTTTATTTTATTTTGTGAATGATGTGGCATTTCAAAGGAGGTCCTTGGAGATGACCCAGGTTAAGTTGAGCAGGCTGTACATGGTGTTGATTATATAGTAGAATGGCGTAGCTGGATTAGTATATTGAAAGATGGAGATATTCAACTTCATCTTCATGATTTTTCAAGACAAATTTAATCCTTTTATATGGAATTGACCAAAAACTTAGACTTACCTAACCTCCTGCTAGGGGTCATAC